TTTATCCCATAAACAGCGTATACTCTGTCTTATTCTCTCGCTGCACAATTCAATAAAGAGACTTCCACTCCACATTTTCGCCTCTAGCTCTCACTCTTTTTACCATCATCTCGTTTTTTTTCTCTCTCTCGTTTTATGAGACATGAATGATGTCTTTATTAGTCGGAAGAGAGAGAAAAAAGAAATGAAAGGAGGGAAAAAAATGAAGCATTCAAATAAGTACATTTGACAGGGCTGACGTGTATGACACACCTAGGTAAAAAACTTATGGCCTCATGCTGAAGGTTGGCACTTGGATGCGCGTAAAAGAGGATGAGTACTGGCATTAAATCATACCTGCCTGGCCGGATGCCTGTTATTCCTGCCTACCTCCGGGTTATATGCGCGCAGTGCCCATTAATTTTCATTAGGTATCCGACGAAAATTCATCCGGAAGAGAGTGATCTTGTCGGCAGACGTGGAAATTGAGGAATTCTTCATCAACATAGTTATTTTTTGAAGATTGAAAACAGAAAAATATGAAATTGTCTTAATTTTTCGTGTTTAATGGAAAGACTATTTCGATGAAATTGTGGATTCCGACATAATCAACCTCATACTCGCCAGAAAAGTTTTTTTAAGCCGCGTGACAAATAATAGTTTTTACATAACGGCCGTAGGCAGCGATTTACAAACGCGTGGCGGCCGGAATGACAACAAAATGTTTTATTCTTTTTCTACCCTGAAGCGGAACAAAGTACAGTAATTCATATGATGAATGTATTTTTAATTCAATCCCCCTCTCTTTCGCGATTGGAAAGACTTGGAATTTAATATTCTAAGTGGGTAAAATTCATTTTTATAATTATACAGCATGACATTGTTTGTTCATTTGGTTGAAGTACACTGGTAGGAAGAAATTGAGTTTCATGGACATTGTAGTACGAATTTTCAGCAAGGCGACATGGAATTCGATTTATGGGATCAAAAATCGTGACATTGAAAATTTGACAGTTTACAAATCATCCTCGCGTTTAGTAAATTTTCCCGGGCGAACGGTTTAAAATTCACTATTAATCCCGCACCTTTTCTCCTATTTAACGTGAAAAAGTACTGGAAATCGAGGTTGCTCCACGATTGCTTGACTTGTTTGGTATGTTTCAGGTGATTACATACATAAATTTGGTATAATTTCTGAAAGGTATAGAGCGGGCTCGACCGGCACCGAATCTTCTAGAAAATTTGAGGATCATTGGGAAAATTCTCCAGAATTATTCCGAGGATTATTTGTTCTTCATGAAAATTATTGGAAGTTCTGATGAAGTCGGCTACTGTCTATAAAGCTCTCCAATTTTTCCAAGCTTTCATATTCTTTCTAATATATCCCAAACCAAGCTGAAACCCTTTAAAAACTTTAAAAACTGTAAAATGTAAATTTTACGAAAATTTATAAGAACTTTTCGATTGATTTGAGTTTATCTACGAGTCTCCCTGGGTACTTCGACAATATTTCGATATATTCTAGAATTCTCCACACCGAACCTGCAAGCCCTGATGGCTATTGATTTATTCTTGAAAGTTAATAATATTAATATTCAAGTAGAAGAAACCCGTAAATATCGATGTAAAAATTTGTATAACATTTTCATATAGCAGAGTAAATCTGCTGGTTTGAATGCTTTGAATAACTTCCTCCCTTCAGGTCGGGAAGTCAATAAAAAAATTCTAGGATTTTCTAGCATTTATCGTCTAAATATCGATTTCAATAAAAAAAAAAACACCCTAGTATTTGTAATTCAATTCTTCACAACAGTAAAATTGCGAAGCCTCAGACTCAAATACTTTGAAGAACAAAAATTAATTCCGATAACTATCCCGAGCGCAATTGTTTGGTCATAAGTTTGCAGCAATTTCCCCGCAACAGCCACGACCAAAGATTAATTCGATCTCGAGGTCAAAGATTGCACTTGGACTTTGGTAAGTGTCCTGGTAATTCTCCATCCGAAGCTAACCAATTCCCCCTCAAAGCCAACCAACGGTATCGGTCACATTGCATGGAATGCTCGGAAGGATGAGCAGCCCCAGGCATTCTCCTTCACTCACCCACTCCAACCCTTCAAACCCGCTGCTGGCCAGGGCGACTCGAGAATAGCAGACACACAAACGTATAACCACTGGCACCCTTTCCAATTTACCAGCTACCTGTTCTTCTCAGTACTCTTTACTCTCATTTTCCCCCAGTAGTTATTTATTTTTCTTCTTCTTTTTCAAATCCTCCTTGTTAATTTCAGCAACACAATTTCTCTCCGTTGAGCTTGGCCCTCGCAGTGGAGAGCGCGTAGTCCTGTAATAAGAGTGTATATAATTACCGCTGCATTAACATCAGCTCTATCTCGGTTTTTTTCCCGTTCCCCTCTGCAGTGCTTCGAATGGATCAACTTGTCAATTACTACAATGGAATGATAATGCACTTGAGTAAATTAATTATTCATACGGATCCTTCCCTGCTGATCACTGAACCAAAAAAAAAGTTAAAATCCGTTAAAATCCATTGAAAAATCTTTCTGCAGTTCCACAAATTGAATTTTTATGGATAAAAAGATTCGTCTTCATTTATGACATGAATAATAAACCTCCGGGTTTGATTTTCGTCGTCTGGAGTGACCCCTCGATATAAATAATTCTCCATTTCACTCTTTTTAATGTTCATTAAATTTGCAACTCTTAAACTCCTGACATCTCGATTTTCGAATGTTATTTTAATCACTCAAAAAACTTTGCGAGAAAAACCCTCCATCAGCTGTCAGAGCAAAAACCATAGCTCTCAATTATTCACCGGTCAATACTTACCCGTCACAGTTGAGAAAATGTTGTGCTGAAAATACTCACGGGAAAAGAGTAGAAAAAAGATATTCGATAAATAAAAATAATCGTTTTATTGTAAATATCTTAAATTTTACAACTATAACTCTCAAAGAATCTTCCTCCTTGAGTATTGACAATTCTATTTACAAACTTTCATGACTATAGTACAAATAAATTATAATTTTTTTCTCTCTTTTCAGTTTACAGATGTCGATAAAACTACAGCAACAGCTGTTTCAAGATAATTGTATTTTTCAATGGTTTTTTTTCCAGACGCGCACGCACAAATACTGTATGTAAAATGCACGAGCTATTACGCAAATTGCATTTTATTCCCTATTTTACATGTTTTTTTAATTCCTTAATGTTTACGCAAACTGCAACTTCCTAAATGGAAATGCAAGCGTACCGCCCTCCCCTTTTATTTACTCTCATTCTGTTGTTTTTGCGTCTTACACACAAGTTATTTATTAGCTATTCAACATTAATATGAGTAAAAGGTACAGACGAACTTTGCATATAATAATACTTAAGATTTGGGGCCAACGAAAAAAAATCGCTCGACCCAACGTTCGAAGAAACACTGTAAAAGGCGATTTCAACTTGAAATTTTTCCTATGTTAATCATCATCTATTTTTTTGTTCACTTGATATTCATACTCTCAAGTTTTTTAAACGTAAATGTGCATGACATTATTTACACATGTGCGTTCAATCTTAACGGTTGTAGTCTTTCTCATGGTGAACAATCAATTCATTCGGAGGATAAAATGCTAACTTTCGAAAATTCTGCAATTAAAAAACGGTCTCACATGTGTAGTCACATGAAAAACTATATATTGACCCACAGAAGACGCCACAGCAATTATGGATGTTTTTAATTAAGATTGCAATTCCCTTGGAAATCTTGAAAAACACAAAATGAGAGCAAGTCTACTTTCCAATGGACAATCCACTAAACATCCGATGTAAATTTCCATCGTTAGGTAATCACATTGAAATGTTTTAAAGCGAAAAATTGGTTTCTGGAATTTTTGGAATTTTGCGCCATATTTTATGATTTTAGATAAGTAAATCAGTAGCGAAGTGGTCAAATGGTACAACTCAATTTTGACGATTGACCGGTTTTTAATGAATATCTCGGAATCTAAGGGAGACACCAAAATTGTTGTCACAACCTTTTTTATAGAGCCGATTGAGTGCTACAAAAAATGTAATTACAAAAATTTCGCTATCTCCCTTAGATTCGGAAATATTCCTCAAAAACTCAACTGGGAGATTAGTCGACTTGAACCGTTTTACCACTTCGCTACGGAAATGTGTATTTTTGTCAAGTGACTACACACGTGCAAAAGCCTCATGGAAGCTACTCTTCAATTGTAGAACTTTAAAAACTCGGTAGTGTATCCCCTTAAAACTAGAAAATGGAATAACTCTCGTCCGTAATTTTGTTGTCTAAGTGTGTGAAATTGTGCTTGAATAACTCATCCCCTAACAAAATCGGATAAACTCCTTCTCCCTATTTCCCATTGTGTACATTCAACCGAGTCAATAGACTGAGCTACCGCCAATCGATAGACCCAAGTAACTCCCAAGAATAGAGAAGAAACTCTCGAAGCCCAACAAAAACCGTCTGGTTATTTTTCTCCTTGCTCCAGCAAGTATTATTGGTAAATTTGGTGGAAAGGTAGCATCGAGATTTCGACTTATTCTCCTTCCGAGAGGAAACGTTCCTCCAATACACTCTGTGAAATAAGAGTTACTCTCTCCTCAAACTTGTAAAACAAAAGGAAAGTGCACTGACAGAAAAAAAAATGAAATGGACAGGTGACTAGTAAAATTTTCAGGAGAGTAGAATTTAATTCTATTTAGGAGGAAAAAAATCATAGAATTTCAAATTTCTGAACAGACGGCACGTCCCAATTCACTCGAATTTTCAATTAAAATAAGATCTAATAAGATTTCAATTATATCACTAATTATTTGATATAAAATTATTCGAATCATTCAGAGGCAGCAAAAAGAACAACAATCGAATTTTGTTGTCGATAGAATGAGTCTTTGACGATATTTACCTGAATTTGCCCAATTCTTATCAATTTTCATCGAATAACTGAACTGAAATTCATAATTTCCATTGATTTTTCCATAAACCTTGAATTTTCAATCACGAAATTCCCTGAAATTTCCGTGCAACTATAGCAGGCAATTTCAGCCAAAAATTATTAATAGTATACTGTTAATATTCGTGAACTATCCGTGATAAAGGCGCAATAAACTCAACACAATTTCGAGGACATTTACACAGTGAATTGATTGTTCATTGGAAGAGACAACAGAACACAGAAATGGGGTCGAGAAGACGAAATTCAGCTCATCTAGATATACAATACCCTTTCCCCTCCTCCCTCCACCGATTCTCAAGAAATACATGAGAACATGAAACATAAGAATAACCTCTAAAAACAAAAACACCGTTCAATAGAAGAAACTGCGATTTGTTTCTAAAGATAACAAGAACAAAAAAAAAACAACTATACTTGACAGGTGGTACTTGCCAGTATTCCTCTTGGTTTCTCACTATTATACACGGTATACACATCTCTAAATGCAGGGAAAACTCTGAAATATTCTTACAGTGAAAAATAAACTGAGAATGGGGGTAGCTAAATAAAAGAAGGAGGAAAAAAAAATGACGAGGAAAAAGTAAAATGATAAAGAAAGCTTACAGCTCGTTGAATAAAATGAGAGAAATTCGTGGAAAAGTTTTCGCTTTGAGGGTGCAAGATAAATGAAGAAGAACGAATAGAGTCAATGAAGACATGAAGTTAGAAGGACAAGTTAATGAACAGAAAAGTTTGCCAGGACTCGATTGGCCAGGCTTTTCTCTTCCCCTGTTCTTGTTTTCCCCCCCTTCTTTTGAATTCTTTCACTCCTCCATTTTCTCCGACTTTTTAGATGATGAATAGCACACAAGCGGTTCAATGTTGAATCAAACTTAAGGCTAAAAATGAATTCGCACAATCTAATCCTTGGAAATGAGAAAATTAACTATTTGCACCGTTCATCCGGCGTTTATTCTGTCTCATTTCTCCATTCATTCGTTGATTTATTGGCACACCAGCCATCGTGATACTTTTCTATTAGTTCTGTCACAGAACATTGATGTTTTGGGACAGAAATTCTGGTACTTCCTTTGAGATCGTCAGTCTGATTGACTCCTCCAAATGGAGTTTTTGTTTCAAGTGAGTCGAGATTCAGTGCTGATGGAGGACGACGGAAAGCAGAGGCACTTTTGCTACTTGACTTCGCAGATTTGTTTGGTAGTTGAGGATCTTACGTGAAGTATCGAGACATCAGTCCAACTACCAATAGGAGGGATGCATTGATGGCGGTGTATGGGGCTGCTGAATAGGCTGCACACTCGCCGTTGGTATAACGGGCGCAGTGCATCTGAAACATAATTCAGGGATTCATGCAATTGATCAACTGCCATTATTGACGAATTTTTTAAATGGATTGAGTGGGAGATAATGAAAAACATTCACAGTTGCTCTTCAATGGTTTTTCGGGTGAACTGATGATGGAAATTGTGACAACTGGTGGGAATCCTGAATATAAATTAAGGATATCCAAGAGTTTTTTACAATTTGGTGCAGACCACACTATCGATTCAACCATTTTCAATCATTAAATTTGTTAATTAAATTGCTTGAGAAAAATGTGAAAATAATCGTGAATTTTCAGCGTTATTCTAATTACGTTTTCTACCGAATTATCATTTTTTTTTAACACTCGTTGTTTATGAATGAATAATTGAAATTGTTCAAGCTTTTGGAAGAATTACTTTTTTAGGCATTAAATCGATTTCTGGTAAAATTCTGAGTATGAATAATGGTAAATTGATTGTTTATAAATTATTTAGAAAAAAATGCTCGTAATTTTCAACTCTATTTTTTTTTCAATTTTCAAAATGTTTTCTAATGATAAATTAAATGATAAAATCATTGTAAAATGTCCGGAAACTAGGGTCAAATGGGGTTCAAATGAAAGCTCTGATGTTCGACTATAAAAATAGAAAAGCATTTCACTAGAGAAAAAATAACCAAAATACTTGGATATCCTTAATTGAATACGGAATAGGAAAAATCATTTGTTTAGTTGAAAATTTATTGTATATCGATTATTCATGAAATAATTCCCAAATTTTTTTAATCTTCTTCAAAAAGGGGAGTCACGAATTTTTTTTTATGATTCTCAAAATAAAATTTTATTCAATTAAAAACTCAAACTCTGCTATTGATTTTTATGCAATAATCAAGATGAAATTGATCGCTTCTAGTGATTGTTCCATGAAATTTAGAATATTCAATGACAAAATTCGTTGAAATTTCAGTTAATTTATAATTTCAAAAAATTTTATGAGCGCATCGAAGTCCTGATTCTGCGATGTATCGGGAGAAAAAGTTTTTTTTAATCCTCACAGTTTCATTAATGAACTGATTGTGAGAATTATGCCATTTACCCAGAAATGTACATTACTTGACCCGTCTGCAACCGAAATAAATATTGATCGCAACTCATGACGGTCTAACTGCCCTACGAGGTCCCATATTCCTCTTATTATTCGTCCCATTTCTCGGACGTATATTCCCACTTAAAATCATTCCTCTCAGTGATCTAATAGAACTGAGTAGCGATTTGATTTTAATTTTAATTTCCCAATATTTACTATTTTCTCATCATCTCAATATTCATCCATACTACTAAAAATTTCACTGAAATTTCCGGTAAGGATCCTTCAAATTTTGAGCGAGTACCATTTACACTGAAATTTCAAGGTTATTTTGTGATTAAAAATTCATAATTTCGTGTTAAAATCCGTGGGAATTGTAAATTTCAATTTAATCATTCTGGAAAATTAATAAGAAATCCGGAAAATTCAGAGAAATCTTTCCTTGAATGGAAAAGTCCTCTGAATTTTCCGGGAATTCTTTCAGAAATTCCTGGATTTCCAAGGATTTTAAAGCCTTCTCTTGAAAATTCAAGGAAATTTGGCAATGAATATGCATTTTTCCGTCTTCCTGCCCCTAAAAAAATAGGGCTTTACTTAAATTTTCAGAAAAACTTGAAATTCCATTGACTTTTCCCCCTCAAATCGAATTCAGTGTATTTTTCCGGAAAATTCAGCCAGGTTTTTTTAAAAGTGTAACTTCAACTATTCCTATTAATCAAGTACAGGGCCATTCAAACATAACATCACACGTTTTTTGGGTGTTTTAGACAAAAAAATATGGTGTGACATCAAAACCTAAGCAACTCCCTCCCCTTTCGTCTAATCGTCTGCGGTAATATTTGAATGCCCCCTTAAACCCAAAATACACCAATAAAATAAATCAATTGAAACACAAACCTTGATCAAAGAGTTGGCCATAAGATCCAGAAAATTTTTCGTAAATTCCGCTGTTTCGTCACCACACTTCCTGCGTACAGTATGATGCGAGCAGTCGAGATACTCTTGGAAAGCACTAAACAAATAAAATAAATAAACCGTAAAACAAAAGATACTCTCCAATTAATAAAGACTTAATCAACAGAAAACGATAGGATTTCCCACCGCGAAGGGGTTGAGAAAGAAAAGGTAAACAACCGCAAATAGAAAAGTTTGAAAAATTATTAAAGCCCAAGTACTGTTGTGTATCCCGAGAAAAGTACAGTACGATATCGCTATCTTTCCGCTTTGTGTGTATATCCATTACATGTATTTCTACCTCTGGGTGTTCCTCCGAGTTTCCCGCGGGAATGTGTCGAGTCGGTTGCCCCGATGTTATAGTCCAGTATGTAACGTCATTAGCCTATCTGTGCTACGGTCTACTGCAGCTTTTGAACTCTCGTTTCCCGGAGGAGGGACTCCCTCTCTCTCTCTCTCTTTTCGCCGTCTTTCCTCTTTCACCCCCCGAAGGATGAAAGAGTTGAATGAAAAAAAAAACGACAAGAAAACTCTCCGCGATTTTTTAAACTCAATAATTCACCGCCCAGAATTATAAATGAGAACAAGTGTTGTTGAGCTACAGCTGAGTTTCGAGTTTGTTTCAAGTCCATAATTAAAAATTAAAACGAGCTGAAGGCGAGTAAAAAAAAAACAGAACAATTGACTTGCAAAAAATTTTTCCACTACACACATTCATCATAAATCCGAATAATTCTGCATCAAAGACAATTGCGAATAGATACGATGCAAAGTTATGTGCATATATTTATGGAAAATACACAGACGACTTTTCGACACGATGTCAAGGACATACAGAGGCATTTAACGCATCACTCTGTGAGGCCTTAATCGATTGCAATGAATTCAAATCAAACTCACCAGCATATTGACTTGACTGGCTCACTAGACCTCGTTTGATTCTTCTTGTCAAGTGCTAGTACAGTGTTTTGGTATTTTTTGGAACACATTTCGTAGTCTGCTTGGACGGTCTGCATGCATGGTGCGTGCTTGAGAAATGCTGAAACATTGAGATGAAAAATAAATTTAATTTATCTGTTTTTACATGATGGAAAATATCATTTTTGCTTCCGAGTGGAAGTATTATATTCGTCAATATTGTAATGGTTAAAATATTGTATTGAAATTCAATATCAAATGACTATTTTATATTTAACAATTTGAAAAAAAAAACATAAATAAACACTATTTGATCGACCGAAATAATCAACTTGAAACATATATTTCATCGTACTGAACCATTTGGAATAGTATTTCTATTTGATTTTCATTAAGTAGTACCCAGCTCTGACCTCAATTAATTTTCTATCAAATTTAATCTGCCCTGGTGCATTTCAATTTAAGCTTACATTAATTTTTAACAGGTGACATTTCTGCTGACATTTCATGACAGAAATCTCGCCATTAAAAAATCGTGACTTCATGAGAAAATCAGTGGAAACCCCATTTCAGTTTAACTATTCAGACAAAATCAGGGGACGTCGGAAAAATTCAGTAGAATATATTCGTAATTCTCTGAAAATTCAAGTAAGTGGTGAAATTTCTACTTAAAACTCATGAATTCACTTGCCTGTCCAGTTGAATTTTGAAATTTTCTCACTCTCCTAAAAATAATTCCTAAATTATTCACGAGATTGAATTTTTCCAGCATTACGACAATCACTAGAATGAAACTTCCTAAAAAAAATCCCATTAATTTTTCCGATTTGACACTGTGAACTCGTTATAATGAAATTTCCAGCTTCATTAAAACTTGTGCCCCCAGACTATCTAAAAAATTCGTCCAGAGGGAGTTTAATCACTTCAAAAGAGAACCTTGAAACCCGGTGGAAAAAAAAATCCACCAGAGGAAAAAGAAATAAAGACAAATTGATGGAAGTGTAACCAGACGAAGTGTAATTGTGCGTAACACAAGACACTCCCCGGATAGATTATCAAGGGTAGTTGCGTGGGTGTATTTGAAGCGTGAGTCGCACCGAGTGGGGAAGACAAGAGCTATACCAAGCTCGGCTTGGAAGGGCCGAGCATTCGCTCAGAGAGTAGCTCTCAACTCAATAATGCATTCGGCACTCTCGAGATTACCGGGATAGATGGCGTCGAGTATCAGTACTACCCAACTACCATCGCAAGTGTCTGATGGAATTCAACGTGAATCCATTCCCCGATACTCGTATTGAGGATCTGTCTAATGTGCCGATTGCCATTGATATAAACTTGAGGGTGAAGGAAGAAAATTATTGTCTCTACCGATTTTTTCATTAAATTCTCATTCTCATCAATTTACGAAACCCCATTTGATCCCGCCAAATCCACTTTGCGGTGATGTCTTAATGGACTCTGGATTAAATTGAATCATTGAATTTTGCATGGTAAAATAGTGGTGATTAAACTGAGGGGTGTCACTCCTCAATCGGGTGACTCAGTGATTTCCAGAATGATTTCCTGTGATTTTTCGATAATAATTGAAAATCACGATTTTCATAATTTCTAGTAAATTCTGATGATTTTTTATTTTAAAAAATCACTCGAAAGATCAGTCGTCAATTGTGATGACAAGAAGTCAATATCATCGTTTCTCTGAGAGTAATAATCAAATTTGTAACAAGAAATGTAATTTTTCGACGTTTTTTCACAAGATGTATTGCAAAATCTAAAGAACCGCTGAGGCGATGTTTTAGCGGTTTCTCGACGCTTCAAAATTAGGTTTCCTCTTTGCTTAGAAAAAATAGGTTTCCTAGTTCAATCCTTTTATGAAGCGTTGGCTTTGTCTGTTTTTTCTCGCGAAATTTTTTTAGCTAAAAAACCAAAAGAAACGTCAGACAGACAGAAAAGCCGCGCCGCGCCGCCCGTTGCGAGTGAGTCCTGTCGCCGCTCGAGTTACAGTGTTGCTACATTCGCTGCCATACTCGGAATGCGCGCACAGCGGTAAGCGCTAACGTGGCAACGGCGCGCTCGGTTTAACCCAGCGGCGTTACGTTACATGGAAACACAACAATTGTATGAAAAAAAATCTACGTAATTTTACGTGGATACGTCCATGGTCTTCACATCCAAAATTTGTAATCCACAAATTTTATCTCTTTCATGCGATAACAATCCATTGGCGGTATATTACGGATCAGCGCTAATGATCCTTCAAAATTGTAATTTATTTCTACAAAAACCGGAGAATTTTCTCGAATTTTCTAGAAAAATGTAGAATTTGCTAGAAAAATCTATAATTTTCTAGAAAAATCTAGAAAATTCTAGAATTCCGAAAGATGGCGCTACTGTCGACACCATAAGAACTTTTCCCTAAATGCCCCCCTCCCATAATGAAAACAGACGCATCCACGTCAAAAAAATTTAATCGTATCGTTCGTTCGAGAGAAATCGTAGCACAAAATTTTGATCACACACATCCAGTTTCTAGGGGTCATGAAACATGGAGAAATCATGAAATTTCCACAATCGATTTTCGGTGTCATTACAATAACTTCCTCCCGTCGGGTCGGGAAGTTAAAAGTTCAGATACTTTCAATGTTCGATAAACACCCTTAAATTATCTCACTCACCATCTTGATAGGGTCCCTCCTGGCAGAGCTCAATGATCGCCATATTCACGCCTTTATAGAGATTATTGAAATTCGTCCTCTGATTGCCTGCCATGCACCGCAGTGTGTACATCTTGATGCACTTCATGCCCGCTTCCAGGTCCCTGTCAACAGAGGAAAACGGAGGAATTAAAAATTGAGAGAAGTCTCCGCGGGTGGGTGGAGAGACTAGGCTTTATGTCTGCGGTAACAACTGCCCTCTCAACAATCAACAGAGCTTTTCAGATAAATTGACTCCAATGAGAGTGTTGTCCCATCCCCCCCCCCCATCCCTTATTCTTCAACCCCTTGATGACTTGATCTTCAGTCTCGAGTTTAGGGCAAATGGCCGTCGAGTACTTTTCACGAGTGGACTTGGGTCGCATTTTGAGTACCCAATGGGGATAATGAGAGGAAGATGGTCAAAGTTGTAACAAGAAGTCAGACGTTTTGAAGACTAGCGGAGGGGGATATTTTCTGAGGGTGCGGAAACTGTCATTCGATAAACGAGCCAACTTGCACGACTCGTCTGCGATAACCGCTCGGTGGACTACTTCACCAATTATCCCGAAATAGCGGATTATGAAGTCCTCTGGGGGATGTAGATAGGAATTTAATTTTTAATCGAGTCGATTAAATTCAGATTTAACAGATGTTTACTAGAGCTTATGCTAAAAATTCGTGACCACATCCCTAATTCATTCGAATAATTCCAGCAGGTTGCCATTCACGGAGTTAAACTTCCTTGAGACACATGTAATATTATGAACGCTCACATAGATGTGCGGGTATCACCATTGGACATCTCCAGGTATTTTACCTATTTTTAACTTATTCTTCACTGAAATCCCCTTGGAATACAATATCCTCTTCAAACAGGAATTCTTTTATTGAATTACATTTCACTCCACGATTACCTTTCGTACAGTAAAATTTGCCACGATTTTATAGGCAATTTTCATCCAACTTTTCTCTTCGTGTGTCAATAATATTAAACTGCCGATTGAGCGCAAACTCAACCAGAATATTCCCACGCATATTAACTTCTGTTTGCAATTCATTTCGGATTTTAATCTGCATAATTCAAATTGTGTTTATGATACTTTAATATCAAGCCTTAGCAGCACTTGGCATTGTTCAGGGTTTGTGATGGGGGCACAGCTGGTATGAACCCCGAAAAGTCCTAATGCTACAAAAATTTTATAATTCATTATGACGCGGTTGCACTTATTTAGGTGCACGCATTGCCGTCAAGTCGATTAAATCCAGATTTGACAGATGTTCTGGCACAGTGTATGCAGTAATTCAATCGTAAAAGCATTTGTAGTAATTTCGTGATTTTAGGGAGGGGGTGTTGGTGACCGCAAAACCGCAGATGGGAATAAACTCTGTAAATCGAATGTCGAGTGATCATCCTCGAAATTGAGATTGGATAAGCACATGTCGAGATTGATATGAAATTTTTACATCGGCATCCAATTCTTGGAAATCTCTCTAAATGAACGAATTATTCATTTCCGATAATTAAAACATTTTCTTTGAAACAGATCCATCAGTTTCTCAATTTCCAGATAAAAATATTGTGAAAATGAATAGAAAAATATGAAATAATTAATTTTATTCAACTGAAATGTTTCATTTCTGTGGGTGTGACCAACAATTATCAATCGATATCAATGAATTTCGTATAAAGTCAATTCATTTTTCCATTAATAAATTGAAAATAAATCGTTGTATAATTATTCTCATTTAAATTACCATTGAAAAAAGTAATTCACGAAACATGAATTACTTATTTGATATAATTAAATCATTTTTATTAAGATAAATACATCAGTTTCTCAATTTTCAATTAAAAATTTTGTTGAAATGGATAGAAAAATATGAAATAATTAATTTTATCCAATTGAAATATTTCATTTCTGTGGGTGTGACCAACAATTATTAATCGATAACAATGAATTTCATGTAAAGTCAATTTATTTATCAATTAATAAATGAAAAGTAAATCGTTATATAATTCTTCTTATTTAAATTACCATTGAAATAAGTAATTCACGAAACATGAATTACTTATTTGATATAATTAAATCAGTTTTATTGAGATAAATACATCGGTTTCTCAATTTCCAATTGAAAATTTTGTTGAAATGAATAGAAAAATATGAAATAATTAATTTTATCCAATTGAAATATTTCATTTCTGTGGGTGTGACCAACAATTATCAATCGATTACAATGAATTTCGTATAAAGTCAATTTATTTTTCAATTAATAAATGAAAAATAAAACGTCACCTAATGATTCTCTATCAAATTACCCCCTAACTTGCCGATCCAATTTCCCACGGAGACAATAAAAAAATATATGAAAAATGAAAAATACTCACGGACAGAGTGCAGTCAGCTCCTCCTTGGTTGCGACAAAACCCAGTTCATTGTTGTTTGTAATTTTACCGAGTGGTCTGGCACAGCTGGCGAGTTCCTCATGGCCGCACTCCTCTCCCCGACAGCTAGCCAGCACTGAAATCATAAAATTTAACCCCATAAATATTGAATAAGCCTTCGCTCCCCCGCCTCCAAATGCAGGACACAAACTCCACGTAAAAAGTTGTAAACCAATGGATTTAAAAAATTAACTTCGACCCGGTCATTTATTGCCGTTAAACTACCCAAGATCAAATGGAAAAAAGCGAAAGTTTACTGCAGGGAAATGGTTCAAAGGGGATTTAAGTGTCTCTACAGTCTTAACAGGGTCTAGAGGGGGGTTGAGAGAGGGTGGAAGAGGGCAAGCAAACAGCTAGCCTGTGTACTGGGTGTCCAATACCCGGGGACTTGGCTTGATCCACTTGAGCCGTTGGCTCTCGCCTTTTTGTCAGATTAAGAGGGATTAAATATACCGTAGCTGCAACGACCCCAACACTGAATACTACGGGTTAAGGCAGTTTAACCATATTTTACGCCCTCACAATACCACCCACTTAATAGTGAGATTTTAGCAATAAAATCAATAATCCAAAACACATTGTGCTTTCCACGAAGAATAAACATTAGTTTATGTCCACGCGAAGGAAAACTTATTAGTCGTTGTCATATTGTTGCTCAGTGTTAAATTTATAAATGCAATAAAAATAAGAATTATAGTTGAAATTCGCATTAAACCGGGAAATTTCCATTACACGGAAATGCAGAGTGGTCCGAAGAAAACAAAAGGGTGAGTAAAAAATATAATATATAAATCCAGAAGCCGCGGCGGGCGCCATTAAATTCGCGTCAGCGTCTTAATTTGAACGAATGGTTTTTCTACGGCTATACAAGGCAAACCAGATTCACCGGCTGAAATTTCGCCTACACATTGCATCCCCCTTCCCTCCCCGTCGCCCCGTGGCGACTCATCCGTCATCGTTAAAACCCATGCACCTGGCAGATGTGATATCTATGGTTTATGTGAAAAATTCTTTCAGAGTCGCGAAAATTAAAGCGCGGCGATATCCAGTTGCATCAAATTGGAGCATTGGATTCAGCCCCTGACACTACCCTCTGCCGCTTCCCTTGTTCCTTCACTGGTTTAACAATGCGTGGGGAGCTGAAGACAAATGGAGGAGGGCGCGGAGAAATCGGGAGATTTGATGATGAAACATTTCTCCGGTTTTTTTAGGGGGGAGACTACTACGAGTTTTAAAATTCGCGGGCTATTGGAGGGGGATTTATCAGGCATTGAAGATCGATTGGATATGTCGAATAATTAGTGCAAAAAAAATTAACTGTTTATTGTTCGCTAGGCCAGGGCCTTCATTTTTTAAGCTACAGAGGTTTTTTTTATTCAAATTTTAAAAGAATTGTGTGCAATAAAAATTCCAAGTTATTTTTGTTTTCAATTTGACTCCCACACAGTTAATTTCGATTTTTTTAATGTAAAAAATTGAAGTATTCATGTAAAATAGCCAGAAAAATGATCCTCAAAATATTTAAAATATATTCTCGATCCTTTCAGAAACATTTTGCTGGGTATTTTACATGAATGGTACAATTTTTTCATCTTGACTGATAAAATCGTCGTAAAATTTTCGACAACACTTGGAAATCCTTTTGAATTCAAGTAATAGTTACATTTGAATTTTCATTGTCGTAAATTTGAATTCAATTTCAGGTTAAATTGTTCTGGGAATCTCTCATTCATCTTGGAAATAAGAAAAAAATTGAGTTTTTTCAATCATGTCATTATATTTGATTCCATTGATTAAACCAGATATTCACTATTTTGTCAACAACAACATCTGCAGAATTTTTAACCGGAAATTTCAAGACCAAGCTTCTAACAGTGGGGTTAGAGTAGATTAGTGCTCAACTGGAAACTCTAGAATTTCACTATAAATGTTGATGGAGCTTTAAACTAAAAAAAATGTTAAAAACATTCAGGTATCCAGGTATCTAAGGGATTCAATCAACCAAGTGTTTCAATTTTTCGAAAACATTCCGCAATATTTCAAAATAGATGATAAAAATTAGTCCTTCAAAGTTTGATTGATAAAACAATTGCAAATCTTTCGCCAACACTCGGAAATTATTTCAAGTTAAGATGAAACCGTTCATGGCATTATGTCATTTATTTTGAAAATGAGAAAAACTTTAGTTCTTCTAACCGGAGGTGCCTGAATTCTCGGATTTTTTCAATTGTTTTCATTGTATTCGGTTCCGTTTACCACGCCAGATATTGACAATTTTGTCAATAACAACATCTGTAAAATTTTTTACCTGAAATTTCAACACTAAGCTGTCAACTCAGTACTCAAGTGGAAACTCGAAAATTCCACTACAAATGTTGAAGGAGCTTTAAACAAAGAAAAACATGTCCAAAGCCCTCAGTTATCCCCAAGGAACTGAATAAACCAATTGTCACAATTTTCCTGTCAATCCGACAGAAGAGACTAATTCATCCGTGGGTGGCATTGACACTAATAAGTATGATTGTGGAGAGTTACTACATGAGAGTAGGAGGGGTAATGGACCTGCTCTGGTTGGGAATGCACAATAATGCCTTCGAGAACGTTTTTTATTGAAGAACACGAAAAAAGAAATACAGAGTGAAATAACGTCTGCTTCACTCCCTTCCATTCTCACCCCTCAACACTCCCCCTCGCCCTCCTTCTCAAAACCCAGGAAAGGTTATGGAAAGAAAAATATCGAAGTTCTATATGTTTGTCGAAGAAATGGAGTCGAAGAAAAGGAGACGATAAGAAAAGAATTGAGCGGGAAGGGGGGGGGGGAGAATGAAATATGCAAGGTTTGCTATTAGGTTTGTTGGCTTCTCGATAACTCGAGTTAACCCACTATTACATTCGATTCTATTCATGTACTGCGAATGATGCATTGGCTAATCGGATGAAAAATAACGAAGGAAAATCCACTCTTCTCCATTCATCGAAAAAATATTCCGCCCTCCAATCTTCAAAATTACTTCACGTTTTCCCAACTAAAGACCTTCAATTGCACGAGGAATAAAACTGAATATGGAAAAATTTCTTCACAATTTTCCGCTCGAATGAAGAACTTCAATTGCTCAATTTTTTCATTTCTCTCGATCATCAAATTACATTCGTGTTTTTTCGACTAAAAAAGCTGAATTTTTCATCATTCGTTAACGAATGAATTAATGAAACCAATCAATACAAATGAAAAAAAAAATATGAAAATGAAAAAAAATGGTGGTTGAAGATTTTTGGTTAACTCTTGCGTCATTACTATAATGGTCGAGCCACATATCCACCAACAAATATCACGTTATCTCGTGTATCCCTAAGGCATTAAATAATCCTAGTGTTTTAATTTTTGAGAAATATTTCTCAATATTTAAGAATGAATTATTAAAATTAAACCTTGAAAATTTGAATGATAAAATCGTTGCAACCCTTTCGAGAATACCGTGAAGTTCTCTCAAATTCAGATGAAATTGTGAAGGAGTTGATAAGAAAAGAATTGAGAACGGGGGGTGGATTGAAATATGCAAGTTTCGCTGTTAGGTTTGCTGGCTTCTCGATAACTCGAGTTAACCCACCATTAACATTCGATTCTATTCATGTACACGGAGAGAAAAATTCAATAAAAATGACCAGAAAAAAGCGTAAAAATTACGTTTCGAAACGTAATCCGGGAGCGAAGTAAAATTTAATAAAAAGTGTGAGTCTGAATTGAAATTGTACGAATCGTCACGTAAATTCTACGATTTGTTCCGTAAAAATTAACCACAACAAGTCGTTCCGTAATTTTTCCCCAATTATTGAGAAATTTTACGGAACGGAACGTAGAAATAACTCACCAGCTTCATAAAAATTGTTGAACAATCAAGAATTTTTGATTTGGGAGGTACAATAAGTCGGCAAGTTTCTGTAAGATTTTACTTCTTCGGGAAAAATTACGTGACAATTTCGTACCTGGTTCGGTGATGAACCTGAAAATTCACTGAACGTTTCAGATTTCTTCTCTTCCATTCCTATAAAAATTTCCGGAAAACGATTTCCCATTGCGGATTACGTAAATTATTCCATAATTTTTACTGAATATTCTGCCTTCAATTGCATTAGGAATAAAACTAAATGCGGAAAAATTTCTCCACAATTTTCCGCTCGACTGCAGAACTTCAGTTGATTAATTTTTCCATTGCCCTCCGATTATCTAATTACATTCATGTTTTTCCAACTAAAAAAAACCCGCTTTTTTATCATTCGTTACCGAATGAATGAATAAAACCAATCAATCCAAATGAAACAATATGAAAATGAAAAATAATGGTGATTGGAGATTTTTGGTTAACCCATGCGTCATTAATCTAATGCCCCGGCCACATATCCACCAACAAATATCACGTTATCTCGACGTCCAATCAAATCTCGATAATCGACGACCAGCATATATTCCACAATGTCTATAGTACTGATAGTGGATAGGGGCGCGGTTTGACTACCAACAAAACCCAGGAATTACACTCGTTTACACGTGCTACCGTACAATACCCAATGATATAAATAAATTCAAATGATAGATAATGTTCCGATTGTTGTCCGATGAAATTCTACAGTTTCGTGACAATGACTCGTCGATCAGTACCAAATGTATCGTGGAGCGATTAATTTTCAGTCAAAATGTCCACAATTCTATTGATTTATATCCCCAGAAATTGTGGTTATTTCTATAAATAATTGCACAGGTGAAATACGAAAATTGATTATCGATTTGTTCTACAAATGGTGTGGCCCCATCAATATTCACTTATTAATTCATCAATTTTATTCTGCTAACGCATGAGATATTGATTTGGCCGGTGATGCCATACTTAATGAAAATTCACTCGCAAATAGACTCTCATGAAATTTATAAATGGCTTCGGATAACTGAATTAAAACATCTCCGTAAAATGCTCACTGTGATCCTAACCAACTAATGAAAATGGTTTTTTAATTAGTTTTATTCTCCACTGGGGTTGTAATACTTATAATGAATTTTGAGTTTATCCAAAAGGGAATAGC